CAAACCATTCTATGATTCTAAAAGATGCATTAGGACCCCCCAAAAGTCCTAGTGACAATATAGGCTGTAGGTGGTTTACTGCACGACACACAAAAGGAGGTAGCAACTCCCAGAGGTGATTTTCTGTCCTTCAGAACAGGCAGAGGGGGAGCAGAAATAATCTGACAAAGCTGAAGTGTTTTTATTCACACAACAGGCTTTGCTCCAGGTCAGCCAGGCTGCTAACTTTCACAAGCCCCAAATTCAACATGACAAAGCTGTCTTTGAGCCCTCCCCTCCAATTATCTCGCTCTACAAAATCTACTCTCCGTGGATGCAGAAGCAGGTTACAAGCTGGTATTGTGACATGCCCCCTTTAGAAATACAAGTCTCGACCGCTAGCAGGTAATTTTGGCAGCAAGCTCTAGAAGAAAAATGTCACCTTTTTGGTTGGAAACTTTACATTAGAAGTTAATACCCGCAATACGCCTAACCCGTATAAAAGAACACTTGGTTTGTCTCAGATGGAGTTATGTCCCTAAACAAAGTCAGGCAGCAGTTCTGTCACACTTCTTCCAGTTAATAGACTAATAACAGAAGCATATAAAAAGTACAACCGTTCCTGTTTATTTTACTCAGCAGAGCACTAATGGTCCTGAACACTACAACTTGTGTTTCTTTACAAGGAGGTAAGAAGTCTAACATGGAGCCACCAACTTTAATACTAAATGGAACAGGAACAGCAGCTGTAGAGGTCTGGATAAGGATTGCTCACTAGGTCACTAACTACTTTTAAAACCAGTAATGGCATGATTTGTATATAATTGCTTTTCTCGAAGAATTAGGAATAGGTATGAAAGAGTTCAGAAAATTACCTGAGCAACTTCATGCAAGCAGCAAGGATTTTCCACTATGCAGGAATTAAGACTATTTCCTGATCAGAGTTTTAAGTAAATGAAGGCTCAGGTCTTAAATCTTCCTTTTCAATCGCTTTCAGTTTTTAAAATGTAAAAATCAGGACACCTTAAAATTACATGTATTCCAGAGCCCAGAAAACAGGATGAAGCTCCAGCTCTGTAACTGGCAGTAACTTTCACTCAGCTAGGAAGACTCTGATAGCCGAAAAGCATCCCTATTTTTCCATTTTTTCCCCTTCTACACCTGCTCTCCCACTGACTTTGTAACACTCAGCTCCTTTTCTCAAGTGCTTAATCCTGAAGTCTGAGAGTTACAGTGATACCCAATGCTCACCAAGTACAGGCTCAGTTTGGAATACACTATGACTTCAAACACACACCTGTCTTTCGAGGCTGACAAAAACATTGGATCCCATCAGAGTTCTCTCCCTCAGAACTCATCCCTCCTTCATTTTATGACGAAATAACATCATGGTCATATAACACTCCAATACTACGTACTGATCATTTAGGGATCCACTCACATGTAGAAAGCCAGAGTGCATTATAAAGTAATTCTTTCCATTTTTTAATACAAAAGAGCAGAAATAGTGCACATCAGCCAAACCTGGCCCACATATAACAGGAAATTGAACTCAGAGGTTGGGGTTTTGTTACTTTTGGGTTGTTGGGGGTTTTTCTTTGTTTAAGAGTCATACAGACTCCAACTCCTTTTGGCATTTTACAATTTCTCAATAGTTATATAAAGCTTCTGCTTTAAATATTACTTTTATTTTCAGGGACTTTCAATTAGACACCCAAAAAGTTCATTCTTAAAACTCTTCTAACAATACAGTCTCGGGGCCCTGTAATTTTTACTCTGTGGAATCAGGCGACCTTATTTTGATAGAAATCACACACATTCTTACCAGCTGTTAGTATGGTTTTAGCACTCTGCACTATACTGGAAGACCTCACAATTCCCGAAATGCCTGCAGACAAAAAGCACACAGATGTTACCCATCTTGGCAGGTTTTGGGGGGATTTTTTTAAATCCTCCAACACACAAAAAAGTTAAACATTTCTCCAGTTACACAATCAAGCCAGCCCAAAATTAAACCATAAACTGAGAAGGTTTTTTTTTCTGTTCAGCTTTCTCATATTAATTGAAAATACTCTCTAAGGTGTTTTAAATTATTTTATATATAACATTTAAAAGAAACTGAACAAATCAATATTAAACCAGATAACAACCAGTAGGAATTGATCAAATTAATTCATTTAGTTTTCCCCTTATTTCTCTACTAAGATCATTAGTCACAAAGGATTCAGAGTTGTTTCATTTAAGTGCTGCTGTATCAACTTCATAGAGCAAAACAAATTATACTCATTGTTTACTTCAACATGAAACGGGGATTTTGCACTTCTCTGATCAAGTAGAGATTTTTATACTGTGCTTTGTTTGCCTGGCTTTTTAGAACTATCAGCTTTTGGAGATAAAGCTTGTTTAGTGCTTTGAACAGCGGCACATTCAGTTCTCATTGTCCAGTGATTCTCGCTTATTAATGGAATAGTAAACAAAACATTAAAACTTATTTTGAAAAGTACTAAGTTTTATCTGTTCTAACACACACACACAAGCACACCAATATGTGCAGAACAAAACTACTGCACGTTACTAAATACTTCAAGTGGCTGAAGTGCAGCAGTCCCAGAGCTAGTCTTCCAAACTGAAAGTTATTCTTCTCCATTAACCAGAATGTAGAATATAATTTCAAATATTATTTTTAAATCCTTCTTGCAAAGCTATTTCTATAATGAAAAACAAAGCTTCAGGAAATCCACGACTAAGAGGGATACAATATTCTGAAAAATAACTCGGGGGAAGTAGGGCTGGGGAGGGGAGCAAGTCACGTTGAGCTAGTAAAATACCTAGGGACAATGCAATTCAACTTGAGTAATCAGCTTTGTCTTGTAGCATTACCAAATGGCTTGTCCTTTCCTTTACTCAGATTCCTGAATTAGGAAAGTTGGGTCAAAAAAAAAAAAAAAAGGGGGCCACAAAAGTGAAAGAGGGGAGTTGATTTGTTCTCCTAAGAATATGAAGTGCTTGGCTTGAGAAGGCCAGATCTGTGCAATGTTTTGACACCACTGTGTGCAGTGCCCAGTCACAGCCATGCCTGCAGCACCCCACAGAGATACAACCGTTAGCTGAGGGTGGACAGCTCGGAGCTCTAAAACTGTGTGCAGCTCACAATGCCTGCAACACCTGCTCCCAGATTCAGTTATTACCACATACATTTGTGGTCCAGCCACAATAGCATAGAAGCTGCCGCAAACTGACATGAAGGAAACTATTCACCTTGGTGTCGAGGTGCAATTCATCCTATACTGCCAATGGAGAACTGACACTCTCAGGAGCTTTATTTTCCCAAACAGAAATCTCCGGAATAGCTCCCTCAGCAGCTGGCTAAGTGTCTAGTGGCGCTCAGACATCCATGGAGTTTTTGCTGTGCTGTAGGAGCTTGCAAAACTGGCCACCTGGAACTAAGATGTGTCAAGTTCTTTAAAGATGTAAAGGACTGCAGGTACTAAACGTTTTAATTTTTCTGCAGAATAATAAAACATTGATGCCTGCAGCATAAGCTTTAACTTGCCATAAAACTACTTTCCCTCAGAGAAGCTAACTGTGATGATGAGAAACACCTCAGTCTTTTTCCTCAAAGCCCGAGTTCACGTATCTGGACTATGAAAACTGGGAAAGGTAATGTCAGCAAACTAGAAAATTAACTTAGCACCGCAAGGTATGACTGGTAGGATATATAGCTTAGCATTTAAGAAAAGTTATGCCAGCTAATGAAATCCCGAAGGTGCAAGCAGCCCAAACAGAGGTAGATGGTCTAAGTAGGTCACACTAATTCCTAAAGACTACTTCTTTCAGAATCCAAATCAAAACATACCTTTCTATATCTGTAGGAATGCTATTTGGTGGTATTTTGGAGAACCTGTTTGAAATCAAACCAATCCAAAACCATGCCTTTAGGAATGCATCTCAAGACTAACCTCTTGTTTTCTTCTTCCTTCCGTCCAAATCATCCTTCTGAACCAGCAGAACATGTACCACAAGTCTGTGTATCTATCATGCCTTAACGGAGATTACAGACACTGATCTAGGCCTACCTTGATTCACCACAAATCCACAGTCAGGGTCATGGGCAACTTGCAGTAAAATTTCTTCCACATCTCTGTTTTTTCCAGGAGGGTCTACCAGAGAAGTTATCTTCTGTTGCAGAGTCCTCGGCAAAGCCATTAGTTGTGTAAATTGACCTTCTGGACTTTTATCAATCTGAATGTTACAAAAATTAAGACAGTAAAAACATTCAGTGTTAATAAAGTAAGTTCTCTTGATTTTCAAAGAAATCAGAAAGGTCTTTTGGCTATCTTTGACCTCTGCTAATATCTCAAAGAACACCCATTTCACTTGTAAAAGTCATTGACAATGCCAATGAAAACTTCCCAAGCACCGGAAAATGCAGTATCTTAGTTCTGAACCTGAAGATGTTAATTTTTATCCCAGGGAATACTCATGTCCACACAGGGTCTTGCTGCCTCTGCAAGCAACTTTTCATTGAAATGGTATCGTTTCTGCTCTATCCAATTTCCTTTGGAAACAAAAGTACACTAGAAAGAAAAAAAAACAGTTCCCAGAAGACCACTTAGCTCAGTTTCTTCTGCCTGAATATAATCAAACTATACACACACACACACACTTCAAGTTAGTTTGGAAAACATCTTCTCTGCTTTAAACTCAAACCACATCTGGTTTCATTTATCCCACATTTTCCAATCTAAATCAGAAATTCAATGACCATTTTTTGAATACAATGATACCAACGTGCAGGCCTGTACACATTTACACAAATACTGAAAAATGCATAATGGAGCACATGTCTCCAAAACCAGGGGAAAATATGAAGAGCTCAATTCCTCCCACACAACGTTTTAGACAGTTCATGGAGACATCAGACAGGAGTCTAGTTGCCCTACACACTCCCTTTAGGCACTGGGAAGAAAATGATATCCAGATGAATCGCCCACTGACTACAGAGGGAGCCGACAATGAGCAGGCTCTTAACATCATGTGGGAGGAATCCACGCCTGAACCAAAACTGTAAGAACTAGTGTCTGCCTTCAACTGTTTTTGAGGAATCTTTTAAGAAAGAAACTTCTCCATAACTCTAAGGACGTATACTTGGAGAAGGGGTTTCTGTTCTGCGTTAAACATCACTCCAAACAGCAGTTATCCTTTTCAATCTGGGGAGTAACTGGCAATGACCAGACCAAGGTGTGAGGAATACATTATTAAAGACCTTTGCTCAAAATCAGCAGTACATTGATGGCGTTTAATCAACACCCTCAGTTACTGTTACGGAATCACAAACAGATGTATTCTTCAACAATTTATTTGTGGTGTACTACCAGGATTTGTTTAAAGGTAACACAATGGGGAGTATTATTCTAAATAGACATTTTCTTGGAGAAAGCATGACTGTTTCTTTTCAAAATCAATTGAAATACTTCTTTCACTAAACTGTTCAAAAGCACAGTGATAATAAAACATGGAGACAGCTGCAGTATAAGACAGATTCACCCACAGTATACTCCAAAGCACTGCAGTAAAATTCTTTACTGTACTCAAGCTTGCTATGATTCAGTTTCTAACAGACATGCCCTAAAAGGAGGCATTTGTGAGATAATTACTAAGGTGACTTGAGGATAAAGAGATACCCGTGTCCATGAAACAACACGTGCTATTTGTAGCTCCATGCTGAAATCACACTCGGATATTCACACACAGCCATGCATAGTACAAGAGCTATTAATTGCTATTGGACCCCTGACCGTGGCACCTCTCCCCTAATTGCAATATTACACCTATACCTGGTGCCAGAAAGACAGAATTCAAGATACTGTTCATTTTGGATACCTGCTTCCCAAATACCAGGAAAAATTTGGTTCAGTACAGGTATTTTAAAATACCAGAATTTCATTTGGGTTTAGTCTACTGATCTTCATAACTAGCACTCTAGCACCCCTAAGTTACAGCCTAATCTTTTTAACACAAACCATGTGTTTATGCATCACTTCCTAGACTGTTGTTTCCATGTGGTAGTCATTAACACATATGTTTTAAAATTCTCTTCTCTTGTTCCCTTGCGAGGGCTCTAGTTCTGTGCCCATGCTCACACAAAATGAACAGTAGTTACTACATATGCAGAGACTGGTATTTAAGGCAAGTATTCTGGGTGCAGAATTAACTAAGCAGCAGAAACATAACCAATAGCAAGTACAGTGACTAAAACTGCTCGCCTTGGTGTACGGCATAACTCTTGCCTTATGCCAATGTGACAAAGCACTTCCACTTGCTCGTTTTAAAAACATTTTGAAAAACACTTGCCTCTAGCCTTCCCAGATGGTGCTTATATACCACTTGAGGGCAGTCCTGTAATATGTTACTGTACAGCTTCTGAAAATGGGGAACATTAGGCTTCACTATGTTCTGCACTTTCAATCTGTCTTCTCCTACTACCATTCTGAAATCACCTAATCAAGAAAAGAAAAACAGTTAATTCATTAGGAAAAACACTGAAAAGTCAAAGGAGGAGAATATAACAGAAACCAACATAGTACAAAGCTGCCATGTAGAACTCCATTCGCCAATTCTGCCAAGGCCTCTATAATCCACAATAAGGTTCACCTTCTAATAGTCAAAAAATACTACTCAAATACCTTCAAGCACAGAAAATCAGATTGAGAATTGTTACGTGGCTTCTAACATACTGTAATGACATCAACCCATGCGTCCACATTGTCACTTGGACAGCAAAACTACCAGCTGCCAAGCAGCTCAATCAGCCTCAAAAGCAGCAGTAATACAGTTGTATATTTTGCAGCCATACCTCCGTTTCAACAGACTACTAAACTGATTGACCAGCCCAAATACTCTGTATCCAGAAAAAAAAATAATCTTTAATCCTTCAATACTGAAAGGAAATAATTTGCATTGTCTCTGCCCTTCAAGGGCAGTACCTGAAGTACAGCTAACGGCAGTCATGGTAAAATCAGTGTCACCTTTTCCTCTTGCCACGTATTTTGTCAGCAGTTTCAAAAAGCCACTTCTCTTAACGTTACTGACCTTTACACTTTCTTCTACGATACATGACTGAAAAGTTTCAAACAGAATAAAGGAGAAGACAGTCTGGAACAGAGCATTGATCTACCTCCATTAGATACTACCCTGGTAGCTTCCAGAGTTACCAACCAGCAGTGAGAGGCTCAGTGCAGCACATACCAACAAACAAAATTCTGAATCAATACATTTTCCCACTTCCCACATTCAGGAGATAAATGCTGGTGCAAGGTGGCAACTTGCTAGCATCTTGGTTTATTTCCATTTATGCCAAGCTGCAAAACAAGCACTTCCCATGTAAATGCTACTGACTCACTGCTCTCAAAAACACTATAGAAGGATAAACATTTTCCAAATTAAAGCATGAAAAACTGTTTTCAGCAGTGTCCAAGGAGACAGAAATTTTGTCTACTAGTACACCCACTGTAAAGTTTAAGACTTAACAAAATGGCAGCAAAATAAAATAGCCACAAACATGTCACTGACAGCCTTTTTCTTGAACATTCCCAACCGGGAGTCTTACTGCTTTAGCTTTGTTCACACAGTAGAGCTAATTTCAACACCTTAGAGCATGGTAACTGCTCTCCCATGTTTTTGGCTAATTGCACTGTTTCAAAGGACCTATAGATCTTGGCCACTAGTGCTCACCCAGAATCTAATGACATTCCTGGACAGGTTTTAGGTGGGCAGGTATGCAGCCCTGAAGCAAACATCCCTGGCTGGCCACCCGTAGCCATCCCACTGTCAGTACCCTCATTCCTGTTGCTTTCAAGCAGGTAACGACTCAGAAAAATCTGCTAAGGAAAAGCTGAACAAATTGCAATCCAAGGTGACCAGAGAAGTACTACATAAAGAACCGTAGCACTCCTCAGGAGAATCAAGCTGCAGCTTATAAACCCTACCTGCCTATATGTGCTTTTTTTTTTTTAAAAAAAGCGCCAAATATATATCTCTATACGAGCAAAGAAAGTGCTGTGTGAAGTACAACACCAACCAAACTTGTTATCATTGATATCTCTCATGATATCACTTGATAGCATTAGAATATCTACATTTAAAGAGCAAGGCTGAATTAAACTGTAACAATTACATCTTGTACTGAAGAACTATTTGGAGTAATTTCTTGATTTCCTCCCCCCCCCGCCCCTTACCAATTTGTACTAATTTCATAACTAAAGAAAGGAGGAAATTGTCTTACCAAAGATGTCAGCAAATACCAACCAGGAGGCGAGTGTTAAATGTACACTGAAGAAACACAGTCTGGATTTTTAAGTTAACTAAATAAGAACCACAAACACAGCACATTCAAAGGGTAAGAGCTAACAAAGCCTGGGTCAGACTATCAGATGAATAACATTACACTGAGAGGGAAAAGAAAAAAAATTATCTGAGGTTTTGAATCCTGAAAACCAACATCCAACCCACACAAACAGAAAAAAACCCCCTACATTATTTCACCATATCCAATTACCCATACTTAGCTGTCCACAAATAAAGCAGGTATAAGAAGTTTTGCTTATGTACCTAAGCTTATTTTCTGTGAAGAAGCACAATTAGTCTTTCCAAACTGTTATATAACACAGCAGTAAAATATAGTTATTGGAGCATGCAACAGCATCAGCCCAAAGCAAGAGAGCAGATGACTTACTACACATCAGACTTCCTACCGTGATGCAACAGCTCCAACTACAGCTCTTCTCCTCAGAGACTTTCAACACCAATACTAACCAGAATAGGAGAGTCCTGCAATCTGCATATACAGGTCTTCTTCAGAGAAACTTTCTGGTAACATGAGAAAGGCTGCTGTGACTGCACTCTTCAGGTTGCTAACAAGAGCAGCTTGCAGCTTGCTGTTGTCATTCTGTGTCAGTATTTTCACCTGAAAAAGCAGAGTCATTGGGAGCAAGACTTCAAAAAAGTGCTACTGAAGATGAAAGTAGAAATGTTACTCAACCCAAAGTGAAAAATAATCAGGACATTTATTTAAAATTTGGTCCTATTATTATGGTGCAATAAAGGCTAGAGTGTCCCCTTTTGTTTACACAGTGGGAGAGAGGAACATTTTTAAGAATTAACAACCTGCTACAAAAGGCTGTTTTTATAAACACATTGGAATTGCTCTAAGCAACAGCCATTAACTCATCTCTGAAGAGCTATTCACATTTCATATTCAGGAAATTAGGATTAATCAAAACAGTAAATACGAATGCATTAACAGAAATACTTCATTGGTGATTACGCAACAAGAGAAACAGATCACTGTCACACTGAAAGACAATGGAATACCAGAAAGAGAGGTAAGCTTTCCTATTCATCTTCATTATATATATTTTTTAATACAGGACTCTTGTATCATATCCTTCAGGTAGTTTCTTATTTGTCCCCCAAGAAGAAGAAGGGTTTTATTTTGCATATTGGATGAGCAGAATGTGAATTAAATGGAAAAGAACAGATCACTGAAGTTAAATGCTGCTACGTGCCACACAGAAGTTTATTTTTAGGAAACACTCAAACTGTTCAAGACCAAGTACAAAATCCAGACACCTAGGATATGGAAATGTACTGGAATAAAAAGTAGTCTTCAGTAAGAACTGAATATAGAAACATATTATTATAGAACATTAGCCAGAAACTCAGCCTGGTTTACAAGATGGCCAACTCTGCTCTTTCAGAAACAACTCTCTCAAGAACCTGCCTATTGTGAGGTTCTGTCTTTATCCAGTGTTCTGATAAGCAATATGGTCTTGCTTATAAAGGGCAGCTTCAAAATATTTGTTTACTCTAGAATACCTTCAAATGCAAACCCACTGGCAGTTATGAACAAATGTATCCAACTTGCTGCGACTCCCCAAAAGCCCATTCACACACAAATTAATTGCTGTATTACTTGAAATTCTGCCCCCAGATATAACCTGCAACAGCTAAGGTACACTTTCAAGTCAGTATTTTCCTTTAGGAATACAAATACTCTGATAATAAAGCAGGAAGGAACAAAAAAAAGAATAAACCCAGATTCAGTAAAGAAACTAAAATAATCAGACATACCTGCTACAAAAAATTCTCCCTATAGAAAGCACACTGACAAAGCAAAGTCCTGGCTGGCCACTAGTATATTCTGAACATCATTTTTGATCACGGTGAAATCTTTCGGAGGGATAAAACCAGAACAATCTCTCATTTTGATATGAGGGTGAATGCAGCAGCATACAGGCTGCTTGTTTCAGCCATTCCGCGCTAAACCATGGGTTTGCCTAACAGCAAGTCTATGCAATAGTCTGGAATCGGTCGAGGGTGGATTTCTGAAGGAAGTTTTCCCTGCTTTGATTTTTATTTTAAAAATAAAGAGTTCACTGTACAAGACAGCTTTTCTGAATTCCTCCTAACTTCTCCTGCAAACTACTTCATACTTTTTGCATTAAACCCAAAGACAACGCTAAAACACTTTAAGATACACGGCATTCATCTTCCAGGGAGAAGAGAGTACATCTTCCTTCCTTGAGAACCATCGGAGAAGTTCACTGAATGCATACAGACTTCCTCAAATAAGATCCCATGAATAAGACAGGCTGGTCACGAGGATAAACTAGTATTTAAAATCTCATCAACTAATTCACTCATATGCACTTTCCTAACTTGCAGCCTCAGGGAAACCCTAGGCAGGACTGAAGAGAGAGGCCTGTGGCACCCCAAGCAGTCACACAAAGTGCTTAAACCTCAGGCTACCCCGGGGAAATAACAGCAAGTTACAGACATGTTTTAAGAACAGCACAGTTACAGACTATCAAACGTGAAACTCAGCAGAGACCGTATTCCTCCTCATGGAAGGCCACAGACTTGCTTTAGGTACGGAAAAGAAATAATCTCCTTTGCTAAAAACACTCCCTTACATAAATCAGACCTTTTTTAAAGGGAAATAATATGCTCGGTGTCAGAATTCAAACGCATGAACCACTGCAGCAGGGATACCATTTATGAACAAATTTTAAATGGTTCAGGTAGCCAGAAATCTCTTAGAAAGAGAGAGTGCAGAGGTTATCACCAAGGTATGACAAGGCTGAATGTCCATTCTTGGCACAGATCTGGAAGAATACCAAGGTTAAGAAAGGCTTTTTCACAGTACAGAGAACTTATGATCAGAATCAGTCACCGAACCGTAGCACACAAGGGGGAAAGAAGCAGCCAATTTATTCTGGTTTTACAGTATGCAGAGAGTCCAGTTAACAGTACAGTTAAGACTTTAAAATTATTAAATATTTTAAATGAGGGATATACTCAATTTCATAAAAAAGCATAACCCACGGACATCACAAGAGTGTAAAGCAGGGAATGTCCTACCTTCACTGCTGGGAAATTCACGCACAAGTAACTGCAGGCATGTGTACACAAGGATACTTATAGAAAAACAAAATACACCAAGAAAATCTCATTATAGAATGAAAGGTGTCAAAAGCACTATTCCACTTCAGCCACATCCACACTCTGCTAAATATCATGGTAAGAGGATTTTTCCATTCTCTTTCAAAGAATGGTTTTACAGATTTGGGCAATAGAAAAGTTCTGTAAACAAATATGTGCTCTGCCACTCCTTCCTGGGAATTTTAATGATATAAAAAACCCCCAAAGCTCCCTTCTAAAAAGCACAAGATATTTCTATACACTATGCATACTGCTCTCTATCTCTCACCCCACTCCAATTTACTCAACGCTTCCTTCTCTTAACAATTTCTCCAGGACAATAAATACAGCTGCTTACACTAAAGCAATTACTACATTCCATGTTCAACAAAAACTCAGTAACACTTCAGAGGCTTTTTAAAACCTTCTTCCTCTGAAAACCAATTATGTGTCACTTGTACTTATTCATTCTACTCTTTAGGTACAGCAGCATTGTTTTCCAGGAAACGTGCCAGCTATGGAGAAATTACAACTAAGTTTATTCAGTTTTTCAGTACAGTTAAATGGGAATTTAGCTGATCAGCGTTATAAATTTCATGAAGGATGAAAAGCCAATAAACATTTAACACAAAGAAGACGGGAAGAAAAGTTAGCATTTCTAAGTGACAATTCCAAACTCCATCTACTCTGCCAAACATTCTGGAAAGATTACTTGGTCAAGGCAACCAGTTTTGAACAGAAACAAAACCTCTAGTGAAAATTAAGCCAAGATTTTCAAGCCAGAGCAAATGTTTCAGCTTGGATAGCTTTCCCCCAGAGTGACAGCTTTGAAATGGAACACCAGAAAGGCACTGGGCTCTTCCTCCTCTATACGAGAGTGAGAGGGAAATTCCCAAACACACTGTTAAACAATATTTAAACTCGCTTCAGTCAACTGCGTCCAGAACTAGCACAAATGGCAAGAAATTATTTGGTCTCATTTCTGGTCAACAAAGTATAACATTCAAAATCCCAGCTAGTGATTTCATAGATCCAGCATGTACTCCCTCGGAATTTAACCAAAAGATACGAAGAACAATTTATATATAATAAGATGAAAAATCCTAAAATAAATCAAAGCAGAAGCAAATGCACTTACACTGAAAATAAATATTCAGCACTCATTGTTAATGTGAAATTCAGAATTCTTCCTTCAGTCATTTTTCTCAGTGCATGAAGTTTCATTCCTTATAAAGATAACAGCTGCTCTAACCTGGCTTATGCTACAATACCTCCCTGGAGATAGAGAAAAGCCAGTAGGGCTGAGGCAATCTATTCAAACTTTCCCCCCAGATTTTCAATTAAAATCATAACTAACTTCGTTCTACAGCTTGAACAGAATTCTCCTCCCCTCTTCAGAAACTTCAGCTTAGCACTGCTGCCATCTGCTGAAGGCACACTAAACCAGGCACTCATGGGAAAGCAAAGACCTATTTTTTTATGACACAAACATGGAGGAGAAAAACCAACATGCCTAACACATGGTTCCCTAATTTTGGACACTTTAGCAATACAATGAACTAGACAGTAACTTCACAGCAAAGCAGCTTTCATCTTTTTCCATTACTGAACTGGATCAAGTTTTGGTGACTCCTATCACTTGTTATAAAAAGTAAATATTGCATTTAACATTAAAGGGGCTTTGAGTTAATACTGTCCAGCTATTCAAGATTTCCTACAGGCAGAAAACTGATTAACACACTTACCTTTGGCTTTTTTTACATAACACAGAACAGCATTAAGGACTACAATTCACTTCCTGTCTGAGAGCTAATCCCTCTAGGACTAGACCCCTAAACGAGGGCTGATTATTTCTTCAGTACTGCTGCATAGATCCTTAACAGCTGACTGCTACTACAACTGATAAACTACAACTGATAATTTTCCAGCCCTGTAACTTCCTCCATTTCAAGGCAGATAACTGAAGAGACGAACAGTTACCGGTTTTTGCAGGCGTCCAGCGACATAGAGGGTTTTCCAGTGAAGTAAATCATCAATCAGAGTATCAGTGCTAATTACACCATATTTTATAATCTGAAAAAAAACCCAAAACACCACACCAGAATAATCAGATACCTGCACCATTTTTACTAAATTAAACTTATTACTTACTTACTATAACTGTTATTAATTCTAAGGAACACACACCTCCAATAAAAAACTGGATATGTAAGATGAAAACATTTTAAAGTTTTAATGAACACAGGAGGTAAAATAAAAATTATTACTATTACATGCGAACTTTGGGGGGGGGAAAGTGGAACAGGAATATGCACAGAACCCTCAAGATCCTTTCTAGAACCAAAGTTACAATAAAGTCATCCCAGGATCAGTTACTGCAGCAAAAGACTTTAAATCCCAAAGAAACCTCGTCTAGACAGATGTTGACACTGAAGGGATCTGAACATTAAAATACAATAATTAAAATCCATACAAAGATTTTGGGAAGGTTATGAACAGTTTTGTACCAGCCAAATGTTATAATAGTTAGAATAACCCATAGTATCCTTTACGATTTGGTCAGAGATCTAAAACAGAGAAAACTCCTAGAGGAGTTAGGGTGTATCAGGAAGCTTTTTCTTTTGCTCTTTGATGTTAGAAAACAAATTATGATTTTGTAGATCATTTTATGTAACTGGAAAAAATAATTAAAAAAAAAGAACTTTCAGCAGTTTGTTACCAATTTGCACTTCCTGAGTTTCCAAAGACTATCACCACAGCGAGGCAGCCAACTCCAGAATTTCCAGATAACAAAGGACCATAGACTGCGACATGACTGAGTCATAACAGCATGAGATAAGAGCATGAAGAGCCAAGAAGAACAGAATTTCATCCAAAGATTATCGGTCCTTAATATAAAATCTAAAATTCCTTTTTATATAAAGTGAACAAGGTTTAAACTCAAATTCTTGCCTCGTACAGCTGCCTTTAAACAAAACAGCAAGGACGTAACTTTATCTACCTCTCCAACTTCCTGCGAAGATTTCGGATGTATACCCAACATTACTGCAGCCATGTGTGCTCTGCAAAACTTCAGTTAGTTATCTGTGGCTCACACGGCATTCTTCCATGGCTGTCCTTCATTTCATTTCCCATCTTTAATAAAAGAACTTGCTTTCCCCATGTACGGTTTGTTACCACATGGCAGAAGTTACTCAAAATCAAGACCAAGACAGTGTTTCGCTCCCCGGACTCCTATCTGCAGTCTGCCTACCAAACATAGGCTGCACACAGATGCAGGAATAAGACTTGCTGGTAAGTAGTCCTTACCTAGAATTATTAATTATACTCAAGCTTTGCAGGTCAGGATGTTAGCCACTGAACACCACATGTCAGTTCCGACTTGTTATGTTAAACAGTTGCATTTTATGTCAAACAGTGGGTAACAACCCACTTGCTATTACTACACGATCAGCTGCTGAAATTAAGGCCCAGTTTCCTCACACAATGCACTTTACAACCACCAAAACTGGCAGACAGCAGTAGTAGTATAAATTCAGTTTCCTAAATGCTTTAGTTGTAAATTCCAAACATTGTTCACACTTTTAAAGTGCCAGAGCAGCTACTCTGTTTGCTTTTTAATTCACGTGCTTTTTGTGAAACAGTTTGAGACAGAAATATTGAAGATAAGACGAGTTAAGGGCCAGTTACAATCTACAAGATTTGCACAAGAAATCTGCTTTAAGCTAATCATTTGAATACTTCACATACAAACATTTGACTTCACTCAAACTACTTGTACTTACCCTACCATTACATGGCACTAATGTATTGTAGTAAATCCCGGCGCCATAGCTCTGTACACTACTTATCTGTTTGGGCCCAAAAACCTTTAGGAAGGAATAATGACTCCTGTTCTTTAACAGGTTCATCATATGCCAGGTCACAGAATCATCAACAGCAAACACGAAGTCCAGCATACTGTTCTGTGGATAAGGTGAAAAGTGTTGGGGTTTATACGTCAGGAAGCAAGCGATGTTAATCATTTTAAGCTAACATATACACATTATCAAATTACCACCTAATCATCTTTCACAAGTAAAGAAAAAAAAATAAAACCAAAACAAAAGCATGAATGTCAAATACAGTTTAAATGTTCTAATGAAGATGAGTATTTCTAGGCAGTCTGGCAGAAGTTTTTCTGCCCTTCTGGTTAAGTGAACAACCTTCAACCCTCCGAAACAGGGGAGCATGTGATGAGATTGTCACCCTAGTGCACAGCTCTACTGAGCAGGACTGATGCTAATACGTGTGGCGATGAATTGGAAGATGCAGGCAGACGAGGTCATCTTAGAGCTGGCAGCAAGAAACTGCACTTCTAGCATATTCACTTGACTTTTGTCAACAAAACAATGCAAACTGCCAGCCCTGCTCTTCTGAAGAAAATGGTCCACACGTTCCCTGCACATGGACGAGCTGACAGTTTACAACTCATACCTACAACACACTAGTGTCTGGAGTGACATTGCTTCAAATTCATCAGGCCTACCCCTCTCTGGGGCTTACTAATTCTGGGCTGCATCTCAGCTACTTAATATCCCTAAAATGACAGTCTGTTAGCTACCTTTGTTGCCTACTCCTCTGTGTAAGGATGAGATGCTGGTAGAGCTCTGAAATTCTTATTATCCTCTGGTTTTTTTCTCTTCAGAAAGGAAGGTGAGGCACATTTAAAGTCACATTTGTGGGGAGTGCTTAATGGGCAAGCCATAATGAGAATATTGCCCATTAACAATTTTTAAGAGGTCATGCACAGAAGAAGAAAAATAAAATCACTGTTTCCAAGGAGCTGGACCCCCGAACGATAAGGATGCGCAGGAATGTGTTTTGCTGAAGCCACTCTCACAGGGTGCACAGCAAAGGGACAGTTTGGACAAGCTGTACCCCTTGTTAAGGCCCGCGGTACACGAGCCCTGGCCCACAGCTCGCAGGCACAAGGGTCAAGGGGCACCTGAACCTCGCACAACAGTAACACGGCTGTCGGGGAGC